TGCCATTAGCCAACAGATTTTTGGAAGTCTTCATTTGGAATGACCTTTAGAGTCAATTTTTAAGTTGCAACAAAAACATCAGAAATATCACCTGAAGATCAGCATAATACTAGAGTGGGGGAAGGCTATTTTTTTTAAATTGCTTGCTTCCTTTTTATTATCCAGCTGGACTCTTCGTTATTTTGAGCTCTTTCCCCAGACTGAATTTTCCCTCGAAGGAAGCAGTTGCGCAATCACTGAGGTCCCTTATGAGAAGGTGACATGGTGTTGATAGACCCATTAGGGCCATGAGCCCCTTCTGTACACTTTAATAGGCACTGGAGGGACTTCTGTTTTTGGCAGTTTATCAAAACTCCACGAGAGTAGGAAAAAATCCTACAGACTTTGTGTACAGTTGGTGCTCATTATGTTGTCCTTTATCTCCTCTAGTTGAGCATGCGCTCAGAGCTTGGATGGAGTTCTCCCAATACCTCAGGCACACCAAAAGACGGGGAGACTATGTCACCAACAGCTTCTAGACAGCATATAGGTCCCAGCCACCTAGCCCTGTGTCCCCACACTCTAATATTTTCCTTCCTATAAATTTTCCTACTGAAATTGGTAGCACTTAACCACTAGAAAATATTTTCTTTACCTTTCTCTACTTTCCCACTAGCTTCCATCTTCATCTCTCCCCACCCTTAAAAAAAAATTAAACACAGAACATACCTGCCTAAGTGAATAACAAATGAAAAGTTGCTAACCTCCATGAAGAAAAAGGAAAAGCTCAGCTGAGCTCGAAATGAAATGATTTCAGTTAGTCAACAGTATCTAAGGTAGACAGATCTTGTAAGAGGTATATTGGGGTGAAGGGGGACAGTAATACAAAAGAAAGTCCTTGGGACCTCAGAGAACCTGGGACAAGTGACTGTAGCTTGTAGGGTCAGGGCTGATGGGGACGGGGTACAGTAAAAATTTATAAATGATTGGGTTTTGAGATCTCAAAGGGGCCCAAGGCCAACTATGAAACCTAGCAATAAAAATCTCATATAAAGGTATTTTTCACCGACATGTGAACCCGCTCTTGTCAGCCCTGTGTAAGGTTAGCCCTCTTGCGTCCAAGCTGCTAGTCTGGCCAGATGGCGGGTAGCCTTGGTTTTCTTCTGGGCTTGCACTTGACACAGCTTGTGCCCTTCCCTCTGGTTGCAACAGCAAAGTGGCACCACATCAATCTACAGCAGCAAACACAACAAAGCAAGAACCTTCCTTCCTCCAGTTGTACAGTGAAGGAAACCTAATCCCCACCTTGCGACATTTGATGATGTGTGTGAAGGTTTTCTTTTTCTAGTCCTAGGAGAGAAAATGGAGGCTTTGTGAAAGTACAAATTATAACAAGCTGGTAATTTATGTGTAAGAAATTTTTTTGTTGCTGTTGCGGCATGAGAATTTAAAACAATCTTAGAATACAAATTTGATCTTGGAATACAAATGAAGTAAACAGTGTTTGGCAGGAGGCACCTGTACCAAAAAGGGGGTGGGGGGGTGATGGGACTTATTGTTTAATGCTGAATTCCTTTAATGGATCAAACACTCGCATGCGCCCAGGGCCAGGCAGGGCTTCTCAGGGAGGGGAGCCGAAGAAGGGGAGCTGGTGAACTGGGGAGCACGTGCCTGTCCATGAGGCAGCTTAGCTCCAGCCAATTGTTGTCATGGGGAATGTGGATCTGTGTTGGCCAGAGCCTCAGATATTTTAAAAGCAATGCCAGAAATCCAGAATTTTATGTGAAATCACCCAAGGTCTACAAATTGGCAACTCACTCCGGTTTTTATAAAACACTGCTAGGGCCAGACACAACACATCTGTGGGCCGGACTCTGCTCTTGGGCCTCCGGTGTGTGCCCTCTGTAGCTGTGTATTCCCTTAGAGCGTGTGGTCAGGAAAGAGGACCCGCTGGTTTCCATTGTGGGCTGGCGTGGGGGGCTGCAGGATGGTGCCACTGGAGCAGGCCGAGAAAACCACCGGCAGCCTGGCTCAGTTTCCTTATCATGTTGGATGATTTTCAGCCGCTGCTCCCAGCTGACCTCATCCCTTCCCCCATTCCTCGGGAGGGAGTGCCCACCCATGCCAGGTGCCCCATGCAAGCGCAGATGCGGAGGCAATGTAATGACCCCTGGGACAGCTGTGGTCTCACTCTCTACTGAAAAGGAGCAATGAATATCGGGAATGTGGCCGGGTTAGTGAACCATGGGGATTTCTGCACTTTATAACTGAGGAGGTAACACTTCTAAAGTGGCACCTTGAAAGAGGGAAGCCCTGAAACCAGACAAGAGGAATTGGGTGGTAGAGAGAATGAGGCATCTTAAGGAGATGGACACATGTGGAAGCCCATTAGGAGGAGAGGAGGGTCCTGGACTCCTTGGGCCCCTTCATCTGAGGCTGGACCACCCAGCCCACTGAGATAAATATGGGCAGTGGCCCAGCTCTTCCCATCATGAGCTGTAACTGTTGTAACTTTTGTGTTCTGGCCTATGGAATAAAGAATCTCACTACCATCTCCAAGTCTAACCATGAAGATCATCTGCTTCAATGTCATGCTTTATATTATCCACTAGCTATGTCCCGTTAGAATAGCTGAACTAGAGTGGATATTGCTGAATGTATTATCAGAACACCTCAAACAGGGGCTCGATGAGTACTTGTGAATTTGCTTCATTAAGACGTGTCCATGTGTATTTTATATTTAGTCTGTATGTCCTTATATTTAAAGATGCGCTCGATCCCGTCTTGAAACATGTTTTCCTGATTCATCTCTTCAAGAATCCATGCTTCTGGTGATATTGTTTTTGTCTGCACCCCATCCTGACACCCACTATCATCTTGTGTTCACCAAGACCACGGGAATAGAGCCTGTAGGTGAACAATTCAACCTGGAGTACAGATGTAGTGAAAAGAAACTAGATTTGAAGAAAGTCTGTCAGCTGACGAGCTAGAATCCAAATAGTCTGGATTGTCTCAGAATCCACCAGAATGGAAGAGAAAGTCATTTTGTGTAATTTGCAAGTATGAGTGTGCATTATTTTCCTCTGAAAATCTTTGTGAGGATTAGAGGAAAAGTGACATATTTTTGTACCAAGCAATTTGCTTAAGAACCTCTTTTTAGATTTCTGTAAATAATAAAATTTCTAGATATATTTATATAGAGAGAAAATATATAACAAATACAATAATAGATATATAAATATATAACATATATCAATATTTATTATTATTTATTGGCATGATTAATATAATTATTGTATAATTATTAATATTACGGTAATAATTAATTTTATATGTAATATGTAACCTTGATATATAATATTATATATATATAACAAATAACAAATTGATTTTCTCTTCATTTTAAACCTTAATGTGATTTCAGAAGAAATCACTTTTTTTTTTTTTTTTTTTAGAGAGGGAGAGAGGGGAGGAAGGGGCAGAAAAAGAATCTTAAGCAGTCTCCAAGCCCAGTGTGGAGTCCGACACAGAGCTTGATCTCACAACCCTGAGATCATGACCTGAGCCAAAATCAGGAGTCAGACACTCAGCTGACTGAGCCACTCAGGCGCCCCCAGAAGAACTTTTAATATTTATTCTAAATGGATAATCTCATTTGAACATGGTAGTAGCCTCCCAATCCTTTCTTGGATCAACCCTGTATGCCCTATAATTAAAAATATATAAAAATGGTATATGCATGTGGGATGAGAAGAAGAAACACTGGAAATTAAATCAACTGATGGTTTTGAGGTATGTGTGGCAAGTGATTTTTTTCCCCATTTATTGTAATTAAGCAATTTGTGTAGCTTAAAAAAAGAAACGATCTCAAAATGGGAAAGCAATGCCTCTAGAGTAAGAGTTTCCTTTTCAAAAAGAGTCATTTTTACACTCTTGAGCTTATATTACTTAAACCCCTTTTCCTCATTAATTATACCCATTTTCATCAGCCTAGACTTATTTTCACTTCTCAATAACGTATTCCTTAGTCTCCTTCTTTCTTGGCCTCATCAAGATACCCCCTTGATTAGAGAACTGAAAGAGGAGAGAATACATTATTTCGGAGGCTCAAGTCTGAATACATAGGACAGTTTCTATAATAAGAAAGCCAAGTTCCAGGAAAGGGCATCTTGTTTGCTCTCGGAGTCGGCTCTGCGGGAGACACTATGCGCTCAGGCACTGCCCGGAGATCTATATTTCTGTTCTTGACATCTGTAGGTACCACTGCCGCCGCCGATGGTGATGATGATAAGTGATGGGAAAGCGAACTGGGAGGTGATGTATCTTCCTTGACAGATTTAAAGGATTGCCACGGGCAGCCCCGAGGCAAGTGCTGACTGAGGACATTCTGGCGCCTGCGTCAGGTCACTGTGGCACCGTCAGGCAAAGCTGTGAGAAGCCCGAGCCAGACGGAAACCCTGTGGTTTACAGCTATGCCTGGATCCTGTTTTGGGGGGAGGGTGAACTGGACATTGTCCTCCAACGTCTGAAGTAGCCATTACTGTTGGTTAGTTGGTCTCTGTCTTGTAGTTGGGTTATTTCCACGGGGGGCCAGGATTTACTGCTCCAAGCGTGGCTTCCAGGGATACGCCTGCCGGAAACAGTGGAATATGGTGAATACCCTAAGATTTTGAGGCTTGCTCCCCATCCCCAAAGCCCTGCTTTCCCCCAGGGTGTGGTAAGTGCAAGGTGTGGGCTGGGTCAGTCCTAATATTAGTCCCTGGGGAAGCGGCTGACCTGAGTTACTGTCCTGGCAAAAAAACAAGCAAACAGATGAAGCAAAGCAAAGGAATTTGGGTGCTCCCTGGGGAGCCTGAGGAGCTGCAAAGCCAGGCTGGGCCATCAAAGAGCGAACATGTGCTCCAAGGTAGCACTAGCACCCAATTACCCTGCTTGTTTTTGTTTGTTTAAATATAGATGGGAGTTTGGGTTATAAAACAGCTAACCCTTTTGCTTTTCTTTTTTGCCTCTGTCTTTTCCAGGGCTTTTATAAGTATTTGACTTTACTCAAAATGTGCAAAGAGGAATAATGGAAGCGCCCGAATACCTTGATTTGGATGAGATTGACTTCAGTGATGATATATCCGTAAGTAGCCCTTCTTGCAAGCAATACTTCAGGGGATTCTGCCTTCGCCTCCATGGGCCGCTTTATTGTAATCTGTATATCCTAAACCCTCCCAGTCGCATTGAGCAGTTGACAGCAGAAATCCCATGTGGCAGACAAAGTGGGGTTTCGGGGTCTCCTGGACCAAGAAGTGAATCTCACTTGATGGTGTGTGTGGTGGGGGAGGGGTTTGGCCTCGCTGAGCCTCCCCTTCTTAATCTGTTTCCTTGTTGTCAAAATCATTCACTGAGTGAATGTATAAAGTGCCTGTGTATAGCACACGATTAACCCTATCAGGGATAATTCCCTTTATGTGACGGGCTTCGCCACAGCCAGCATTCTCTGGCGTTCACAAGGACACGGATGGCCAAGTTATTAACTGATGAACAATAAGAGGAATCCTCCCAGTCCCTGTGGGGTCAAAGCACAGGTTGGATGCTCTGGGGGAATACTGAGAACGAGTCATGCGTTGATAAGGACTGGACCAGCTGCCCTCTGAGGGCCCTACTTAATCCTGTAAAGCTGTGGGCTGATGAGCAGCTTCGTTCCCACAACAGCCGCCGACTTCCTGCTGCCTCCCGCTTCCCTCACGGTGGCTCTGATGGGTCATCCGTACGTAGCCTGTGTAGAGCTGATTGTGACGTACCCCGGGCCACACGATCAGTTCTGCCACAGAGCCAGCCGGCAGCCATGTTGGCTCCTCAGCCCCCCGCCAAACTGAGCTCTCGGAGTATGTGAAGAGGAGGTTGCTGTTTCTGAGCTAGCCGTCTAACTTTTCTTCCCAGCACCTCTGGGGTCACAGCTTCCCACCCTATTTTCATCACTCTCTCAGGGCATGTAGCTTTGGGTCACTGCTAGAAATGGTCTCAAAAAGATAAGCTCTTTTCACACACCTCTGGCAAGGGAGTTACTTCTCTACTTCGCCATTCACTTTGAAGTAAAATTTGCATACGGTATACCAGCACTGGATTACTAGGGCGAGTTTGAGGAATGACCTGCTTTATACAACCTTGGATGAGTGCTGTGTACCCAGGGAATGCGAATTCAGCCTCTCCCTATCCTAGCTTCCAGACAGTCTTTATTAATCCTCGTTAAGACCAACGTGAAGTGACTTTCTTCCTTTCCACAGTTTCTTTTTGTCTCTTCTCTCTCTTTTTAAGTTACTATACTTAAAAGTGTTCAGAGCATGGTTCTTTCATGGCACTCACCTCGAGGTATTTTGAGCTGAGTGGGGAGAAGCAAGGAAAGAATCACGTGGGGAGGTGGAGGGAGTGTGGAAACCGTCTTAGAACGGGAAACAGGCATTATGATGAGGAGCTGAGGGCAGCTCTCTTAGCTTTGATGAAGCTGCATTTTAAGAGCATGGGCTTTGGAAGGGAGCTCCAGCCTTGCTCTGACCTTTGCTGACTACAGCACAGTAACTTCTCCTCTCCGAGATACCTACCTAACTTTTAAGGCTATTTTAAGCATTGAGTGACCAGATAAAATACAGGGAGCACTTAGCTTGGCACATAGTAAGTTGCTCTTAAAGTAGCTTGTGTTATTATCTCAGTGAATAATAACAATAATGTTTATATGACCAATGGTGAAGAAAGAACTCAAGGGGAAAAAAACCAGGCATTATGTCAGGACATTTTTTTTTTTTTAAATACAATAGAGCGTTTGTATTTATAGAAGAATCATCTGGCAGCAGCCTGTAATTTTGATGAATTAGGGATCTCTGCTTGGACGATAATAAAGCGCGTTAGGCAATAGCCGGCACTGTTTAGCAAATCGGGGATACCGGATTATGTAAGAGTCGAGTTTCAACAAGTTGACCCCTCGGAAACATAAATAAAGATTGCCCATCTGTAATTGTGTAGCTGCACTCAAGCCTTCCCCCACCCCTTTAAATAGGTTTCTATTGTTTGGATCTTTAACACGCCCTTACGCTTAAATCAGAAGGGGAAAAAAAAAATGGCAGCGGGTAGAATGGTTGAAACAGTAATGGCGCACATTCACTGGGTGCTCACTTGGGCAGAGGCATTATCTTGTTTAATCCTCAAACAATCCTGTGAGGCAGGAATTTCTCATGATCTTCGTTTTATAGATGAGCAAACCAAAGCATGGAGGTGTTACCCATCTTGTCCAGGGCCACCCAGCTCGTTGGGAGCACTCTGTCTCTGAAATACCTGCTCTGCACAGTACTTGACTGACTCTCCAGATGAATACAGTCTACTGCAGTGGTCCTTGTCAGGGTTGATTTTACCCACACCCCAAGGGATCATTTGGCAATGCCTGGAGCCATTTTTGGTTGTTATGGTTGGGGAAGGGTCCCACTGGCATCTAGTGGGTAGACACCAAAGATGCTTCTGAACAACCTAAAATGCACAGGAAAATCCCCTGCCACAAAGAACTGCCTGACCTAACGTGTTGGTCATACTGAGGCTAAGCCATCCTGTATCTTTTTTTAAACCACATGAAATGAAAGAAGCTCTAATATGGCAACCTCTATAACATGGCAGATTATTTTATAATAGTTCCGTCAGATCCAGGTTCAGTCCTTAAATGTGCCAGAATTGTATTGTTCTTAGATAATAACTTCTTGGGGAAAGCAGTGGTGACCTCGTTAATGTTGAAATGACTGTTCTCAGCCTCTTTAGGTAAACCAGGAGCAGTAAATGTTACAACTGCTTTAAGAGCCAAATGGAAGCTATTTGGATGCTGACATTTAAAAATGAAAATGTGTTCAACTTGTTAATTCACTGGCGTAAAAAGAATGTAGTCAGTCCCCCATAAGCATGCCTTCACTTTTAGGATTCCATAACCTCTGTCTCTGACAGCCCTTAATGCCTCTTCCCTGGTTGAGTGGCAGGAGCAGGGAGGAAAATGCCCAATATATTTGAAAAAGATGGTTCACCCAAGATGCCCAAATTCACAACTGCCCTTCTTATTCTCTAGTTGTGGCCCTATGACGTGGTCCGCGCTTTCTATCTCAAGATTTTCGCCTCCAGTCATGAGCCTGGTTCTTGTTTTAATTAAAACCCGAGCTGCATATTGGTTCAAGACAGCAACTAGAACTTTTTTGCCTTTACCTAATGAGACAGAACCCAGAAGGCAATCGCATTATTTTGAAGTTTCCCAGACCCCAAAATAACGTTCATCCTTTGCAAACTGCAGGGTTTAAACTACACGTTCTTGTAACCCTGCCATCTCAAAGGAGAGAACATTGCCCAATCCCAGCAGGTCGGGGAGGGAGATGAGGACACACAGAAACACCACAGTTCAAAGCAGGGCTTTTCTGTCTCTGCAAATGGGTTTGCAGATTTCTTTCTTTACTCCTGTGGAAGCCAGACCCCTCTCTCAAAAAAAGAAAAATGTGCTGGGATATTAGTTCTTACTAGCCGTAGGTGTATTTATTTTATTAAGAAAGGCCATTTTGCTTTTCCCAAAAATAGTAGTAGACACAGGACCGAACAAATCAGAGGCTGAACTATAGATCTATGGAGGGACCTCACCGCTAGCTCAGGCGTGGGCTCTGCCATGCACAGTGCCCCACACTGTGGGTCCGGTAACTTGGTTGAAGCCTCCCATCAGCTCCTATTGTCATCCGTTTGGCACATGAAAAAAATTGAGCCTTAGGGAGATCGTCTGGCTTTCACAGGGTTATAGGTACATAAGTGGCTGGGTCAGGATTTAAATACAGAACTCCGTGACCACGTTACTCTTCCCCATTCTGAGCGACTTGAGAGTAGGGACTCTGGACCAGTCTGTAAGATGCCATCAGTTTCCACATTTGGTACTGATGCAATTGCAAATCACTGTTTGGAAGTAATGGAGTTGGTATGTATTCTAAATAAAATGTAAAACAAGCTGAAGCAAACATAGGCAAATCTCTTAATTTTTTTGCCCTTGGGCTCCCCCATCTGTAAAATGGTAATCATCAGCTACCTATTGCCCTGGATTTTATGGAGAAAATATGAAATTTTATGTATGTATGTATATAAATCCATACCCACATATTTATGTAATACACACATATGTATACACACATGCCTATATGCATACACACATATACATGTAAATACCCCCCCACACACACATGCACGCACACAGACAGAAGTGAGGATATACTCCATTCCTCTACTCAGGAATTTTTGCCACCATTCTATACCACCGTGACCACAATTTTGGTGAAAAATGACATTTTTTGACAGCCTATTTTTTGTGCAGTTTGCATGAGATCAAGACAAACAAGTGTCCTTGCACTTCGCTATCCCCTTTAAGCCAACCCACAGAATTTTGTGGATTTATTTTCCTAAAGTGACTGAACCACTGCCTGGTAGGAAAATAACTTCTTATGGCAAACAAATCTCCTTTCAGTGGGTTTTCATATTTTTCCATCTTTGCACTAAAATGCCTGCCACCCTCTCTGGTTTGCATGCACCAATTTTTACTCAAAGCAATCCGCTGACACCTCCGAGATTTCATTATATTCCCACAAAGCCATTTCATAGCAGCGGGAGGCCCCAAGGAAGGGCACAGGGAACTCACCAAGTGGACTCAGAGAGTTGAGTGGGTCAAGAGTACAGTTTTTGCCCTGATTTTAGTAATGAAAAAGAATGAAGTTAATCAAGGTACAAAGAACCTGGCTTGCCTGTCCTCTCTAGCGAGAGGTCTACCTGAGTAAGATCCTATCATCCTTCCCTATGTGCTTCCTAGAAGGCGACCAAGACTCTCTCACGTGGCCTTGGGCTGCCTCGGCCCCTTCTTCACTGTCCCGTCCATCAGCCCTGTCCCTCCCAGCACTCACCTGCGCTCTTCCACATTAAAACTTTTCTTAGTGCTTCTCAGTATGATCTAGTTTTGTCGGGTGTTCACATGTTCTTTTGCAAATGTCCTGTATTCAAGTCTACGTTACCCTACACTCCTCCCTTCTGTGGCCCCCATTATCGAAAGCCTCGTGCCTTGTTCTGCTATCATATGTCATCTGTGTTCTCTTG